TTTTCTTCCAAACAGAGACGGACTCTGCTGGAGAGAGCTGGTTTGTACAGGGTGGGGGAGGGGGATCACTGCGAACCATCTGAAGCTTTGAATCTGCTTATGAATAAAAAGGCATCGGATTCTGCCTGGCCCATGTGTGGAGTGGGGCTTGGGGCCGCAGGGGCCCTGCGCTGACATGCAGCTCCCTGGGTCTGGCACAGCCTCCCTCCTTGCACCCTGGGCCTGTGTGTGTCTGTCAGGGGGTGGGCTAGTAAAGTGCTTCCCTTGCAGCCGCCACCTGACACCATCGGCCGGGCAAGGAAGGGCCCCGTGGGCCTGTGTTGGAATTCCGGAGGCTTGAGCTGCTTGGGGACAGGTGCAGAGGGGCAGAGCCTCCCACAGTGGGTACGAGCCCTGCGGGCTGTGGCAGGCAAAGCTCACTCGCATGATCGGCTGCCCCCAGCCGCAGTGACCTTGACTGTAGAGCGCTGAGCTGGGCTGCCCTACACGGCCGCTGGTGGTGTGTAGTGATGAAATTAATGGAGTGGTAAACAGCCTAAATCCCCTGTAACTCAGTCCCAAACTACACATGCTGCCCCTCCCTGAGCGGATTGTGGGGAAGTATTTACATGTGATTATAACAGCTAATCTCGGAGTTTTAGTTCTGTCCGTTTGCATTACACTGATTATCCATAGAGGGGGAGGGGGCAGCTACCTAACTTCAGTGTGAGCCCTACCCGGCCTCCAGCCCTGGGTGCTCCTGCAGCTGAACAGCAAAAGGCTGCCACCTCCCAGGGGGTGCAAAGATGAAGCTGCTGCCGAGTAAGAGTTGGGGCAAGTGGGGGTATGTATCTTCCACCCCAGGAACGGTGCTGGCTCAGCATGAGCCCCAGGTCTTCCAGGGCCAAGGGGGAGACAGCAGGGGCCCAGTTTTCCTCTGGCTGCCCCAGGGGTGATATTCCTGGTGAGCAGGGTGTGGGCTTGCAGAAGTCCCGGTTGCTCCTCCCTAGCTTGGCCAAGCCTTGTGTGGCACTGCGATGGGGAGCTGAGCCAGGACACACGTTTGGGTTTGAAGATGTTTGCGAGGCAGTTGTGCTGCTCAGCCCAGCCAGCCTGGAGATGACAGCATGGCTGTGCTCTCGCACCAGCCAGTCCAGACCCTGGAGCTGGTGCGGCACTATTTCCTCACTACCCGCCGCAGCGGTGCAGTCTGGACAATGGCCCTAAGGCCCTGCGGTGAGAGGGGCTGGGCTCACTCCAGTGCTTTGAAGAGGGACAGGCTGTGACGTTCTGGGATACTCGACAGGAGCTCTGCTGGGTCACAGAATAGACCCCATAGGCTCCCAGGCTGCAGGAGCCCTCAGACACCACCACCCCCTTCCTGCTCCAGCCAGGAGCACCCTCCTCCCTGCCTGTGGAGCTCCCCAGCAGCTCTGACCCATCTGGCTTTAGTCGGCAGAGAAAACCCCACTCTGGGCTGCGATCCTGCTCCTTGCGTCAAGCCAAGGAAGGGGTGCGCCCTCCCCTCCCCAGCTGCCCCCGCCCTTCCCCTGGGGCTGGGCAAGAGACTTTGTTCCAGCACGTACCAGGCCATGAGCTCACCCCACTGCCCTCATGCCAGCCTGGCAGTGCCTGGCCTACAGCCGGGGCCGAAGGCACCAGCATGGCCCTGCCCTGCCCTTCCAGGAGCGAGCGGCCTACGGCAGGGACCTCGGCCAGGCTTCCCCTCGCCCTGCCGGCGGGAGGAGTTTTCCCTTGGCCTTGGGGGGGCTGGTGCCTGAGCCCCTGCCCGACTGCCTGCACTGCCGGCCCCCGCCCTGGACGGACCAGCCCCGTGCCTGGCTCCTGCCGACAGAGGCTCCCAGCCCCCCCCCGCAGGCTGCCCCCCCGCCCCCAGGCCGCAGCCCCCCCCCCCCCCCAGCCCTCAGGCTGCGCCTGCCCGGTTCTCGCGCGCTGGGCGCAGCCTGTCCCGCGCGCAGCGCTCCGGGAGCGCCCCGGGGCTGCCTCCAGCCCGGCCGGTCGCCGGGGGCTCTGGGAGCCGGGCCGGGCCGAGCCCGGCGGCTGTACTCGAGCGGGGCTCGGGGCTCGATACCCGGAACGGGCCGCTCCGGGGCGCAGCGTCCTGGGCTGGACCGTGCGCGCCGGGCCCCGCCCGCCGCAGTGCCCCGGCCCAGCGCGGAGCGCAGCTGCTGGAGCAGCACCGGCCGCCGGCCCCGCTCGGGGGCCTCGCACCCAGGTGGGCCAGGGCTGGGGGGGGCTCGGGGAGGATGGTCCCTAAGGAGTCCCCACATCCCCGGGAGCTTCCAGCCCTGCCTTGGCACATCCCCGGGCCCCAAATCCAGCTCGGAACCAGCATTTCAGCCGCCGCCCCAGGGAGAGACTCGCAACTCCCCCAGGATCGGTGCTTGGCCCCCGGGGAGACCCCCCCCGGTCAGTGCTTGGCCCCCGGGCCCATTGGAGACACCCCCCACCCCAGCATTAGTGTTCAGCCTGAGGCTCAAGCCATGATGAGAAACTGGAGGGAGTTCAGAGGAGAGCCAAAGGGCCGGGGTTCGGGGCTGAGACGAGAGCCTTGGCCCCCTACGTGGGTGGGCGAAGCCTGGGCTCCAGGGGCACCCGGGTACACGCCAAGCGAGCTGGAGCGGAGTTGAGGGCAGACTATGGGGCTGTTGCCAGGAGCCGTGGGCTGAAAGGCCGCCCTTCGTGAGGGGGCGCTTGGCCTGTGCAGGCCCCCCCAGGATGGTGTCACTGCTGAGCGTGGGCTGTGCGCTCGGAGCAGCACAGGCGGACGTGCTGCCAGACGGGACTGGGCTTCTCTTTGTGTTTGGCCCAGGGTGCTCTGGCCCTAGGACAGAATGGGCGAGAGGCCTGTCGTGGCTTGGGGCCATGCTGAAGTAGTTGGGGGGGGGGGCGGGCCCTGGGGGGGGCAGGGGGGGGTGCCATGCTAGCTGTGCTGTGTGCACAGGGTCTGGGGCGGTAACCCCTGTGCTAGGCAGGGTCTGGGCCTCCACCAACTCGGGGCAAAGGGGGTGGCAGTGATGGAGTTTATCCTTACCCTAGGAGAGCTGTGGAGATCAGCGCCTGGAGACACCGCCGCGCTTGCTGCTCATTAGCCTGGGTGACCTTCCCGTTCCCCGTCCCTGGCCAGAGCTAAGCGGGTTTGTTACATGTTTAATATCCTGAGAGTGTGATTAGTCGGTGTTTAATTACGGATCCAACCTGGGAGATAATCCACGTCTGAGCAGGGAGTCGCGCCGGGCGGGTTCCCATCTGGGCGCTCCTGACTCCCAGGCCCCTGCCCTAAAACAGCTGCTCACAGCTGCCTGAACCAAGCCTCTCCTGGCTGTGCCCCAAATGCTCAGCTCCAGCCCCCCTTGCCTGGGCTTTGTCCCGTTTCTTCTGGGACAGTTCCCAATGGAAGCTGGAAAGTCTCCGCCTCCTCCCTCAGCACATCCTGCCAGAAACGGCCCAGGCTGGGGGGGCTGCAGTCAGGGCAGGATATAGGGTTTTGTGTTCCCCTCTTATTTGTTCCTTTGCCTCTCCCCTGTGCTAACAGGAATGGGGGTTGGGCTGAGCAACCGATTCGTTAACCATTTATCAGCCCCAGCCAGAGTGTTTCCAGCCCTCGCTCTGACCACAGGCTTCTGAGAGAGATGCCGGCTGCCTCTCATGGACTGTGGGCGATTTCAGCCAGCAGTGGCCCCTTCGGTACCCCTGGGTGTGTGGGGGCCAGCCGGCTCACTCTGGGGCTCCAGGCAGGCCCTTCTGGCCTGGATCCAGCGCTGGCAAAGGTGCTGTGTCCCCCGCCTGGTCCTGTGCGGGGCTGGTCTGCATACACAGCTGCAGTGGTTTAAGTGAAGGTGTAACTTGAAATGGATCTTGTGGTCCTGGTGCAGGCCTGTGTTGGGAAGGGGAACCGGGTGGCCTCATTCATTTCGATTCCGACGTCTGGGTGGATGAGGTCGCACACAGGGAGCTACTCGAGAGGCTCATTGTCGTCACGGGTGAGAGTAGAGCTGGGAGGAATGGTCACAGTTCTCACCATGTCACAAGGTCAAAGCGGGCTGCAAGGTGCCGTGCTGGGACCTGTGTTGTTTAATCTAGTTATTAGTGATGTGAGCAGGAGCTGGGCAGCGTGTGGGCAAACGCGGCAGCTGACGGGAAGGTAACTAGTCCAGACCGGAGAGGGCAGACGTAGCCAGGGGAATGGACGACACAGTTCGTCTCACTTCAGCTGCCAGCTGGTGGGTGCTGGTCAGTGGGCGTGCTGAAGTTAGACAAGTGAGGAAATACAGCGTAATTTTTCAAAAGTGAGGTCGTTTCCCATTGGAACGACTTCCCGGGGCCGAGGTGGGTTCCCGTCACTGACTCCTTTAAATCCAGACGGGAGGTTTCTCCAGGAGCTCTGCTCTAGGAATGGTTTGGGGGCAGGTCTCTGGCCCGGTCAGACTGGATGATCACAGTGGTCCCTTCTGGCCTTGGAATCCAGGAAGATGGTGGCAAATGGGATTCAGTGGCGATAAACACAAAGTGATGCACATTGGAGGGGATAATTTGACACCTCCCGGGGTCTAGATTAACTGCCAGGGACGGGAGCTGGGTGCCACTGCAGACAGCAGTGGAGACCTCTGCTCAATGCGCAGCTGCAGGCAGAAGAGCTGCACAAGGACCGGGGTGGAGAATAACACGGGGAATGTTCCAGCACCTTTGCATCAATCGATGGTGTGGATCCTGTGGGCAGCGCTGGGCCCCCTTCGCACGCGGCTGGGGGGTCAGGGAAGGGTGATGAGAATGAGCAAGGCTGGGAAAACTGAGCCACAGCACAAGCACCAACGAACGGCCAGTGAAACCGACAGGTGGGAAATTCAAAACTGATAAAGGAAATTCTTATTCACGCATTGTGTAATTAGCCTGTGGAACTCACTGCCACAGGGTGTCACTGAGCCAAGAACTTGGCTAGATTCCCGAATCTCCAGAGATGTCACAGTTAATGCTGACAAAATGTTTGGAAGAGTTCCAGAGTCTGAACTGATCTTTGACTATTGGAGATCAGGGTGAGACCTTTGTGGGGGTCCGTTGACTGACTGTGGGATCCTTGTGCCTCCCTCTGACATGTCTGGGGCTGGCACTGCTGGAGACTGGGGCAATGGGCCTCGGGGCTGAGCCTGTCTGGCCGTTCCTGTGTCCCGCCTGGTGCCCTTTCAATGTAAACCTGGCAGGTGCCAGTTCAGTGTAAGAGTGGGGCTCGTCTCTGGGAGCCGCGGCTTCACCCAAACTGGCCCGGCCCCACTGGGGGTAGAATCTGGGTGACGGCTCTCTGGTGTGCACTGGCTGAGCCAACCCCCTCGGGCTGGCATGGCAGGTGCTCCCGGAGGACACTGCCTTGGGGGCTGTTGAGCAGGGAGTGGCTGGGCCCCCGGACCCCTTCCAGCCCCAGGGCCCCTGTGCAAGGGGTCACTTTGAACCCAGTGCTCCCTCCCCTCCCCCCCTGGTAGCTATCAGCTGGCAAGTCTGGGTGGAGCCCTGGGAGGGGGTTCCTGTCTGGATGTCTGCTCTGGGGAGATAGGGCTGTGTGTGATCCCAGCCAGGCCAGCCCTCCTCTCCAGCACTCTCCCCAGAGAAACCCCCGCAGCCAGGGGGTTCTGGCAGCTCCCTTCTGCCCTGGGGAGCAGCTTCCAGCAGGTACCAACGCACTGAACTAGTGACCTCGAACTGCCGTGGGCTGCTGGGCACTCCAGCCTTTCTGCCTGGGGGGTGACCGTGCCCGCCCGTGGGGCTCTGGGGCTGCCTGGGGGTGACCCTGCCTGCCCGTGGGGCTCTGGGGCTGCCTGGGGGGTGTGTGACCCTGCCTGCCCATGGGGCTCTGGGGCTGCCGGGGGGGGGGGCCCCGCCCCCCCCGGGGGGGCGGGGGGGGGGGGGGGGGGGGGTGACCCTGCCTGCCCGTGGGGCTCAGTCCCATGCTAGCTGCATGTTCGCTTTGGTCCTGCTGGGCGCTGCGCAGAGGCCTGGTGCGGTGCTGCGTAGCCCCCAGCTGTTAGCTCTCGCCCCCGGAGCTACGTCTACACAGGGCTAAAACCCCGCGGCTGGCCTGGGCTCTGGCTGCGGGGCTGAAAATCACCGTGCAGACGCTCAGGCGCCCTGCGGGGTGGGAGGTTCCCAGGCCTAGTTCCAGCCCGAGCCCAAACGTCTGCATGTCGATTTTTTCGTGCCGGAGCCTGAGTCAGCTGGCCTGGGCCAGCCACGGCCATGGGGCTTTTATCCCTGCGCAGTCGGACCTGGGTCTGCTTGTTCCGGTGTTTGTGGCTGGGTGACCAGGCACTTCCTCAGCCTGGAGCAGGAGCCGGAGAGCCCGGCCCGATGGGGAGGGGAGCTCTGCGCTGGGAGATGGGGCAGGAAGGGGTCAGTCAATAGAAGGGAGTTCTTCTCGGCATGATCTTGATGTTGTCCTGGGGGACTCACCGCCACAGGATGTTAGGAAGGCGGGGGTCCCATGGGGCTGCTCCAGCTGCAGTGACGCTGGCTGCCGGGATGCTCTGGGGGACAGGAGGTTTCCAGCATTTCGTGCCTTGTTCTGGTGGCAAAGGGGCCAGAACACGGGAATCCAGCTGCTGCCAAGAGTCTGGATGGGGGCAGCTGGACGGGGCCCCACTGGGGAAGGGACTGTGGGTGGCCCCCAGGAGTCCCCGTCCCAGGGAGGTCTGAACAGGCCCTGCCCTGCGTGACCCGGCCCTTGTCCCCACAGCTCAGCCCCACGAGGCCTTCATGGAGCTTGGGAAGAAGCTAGCCCTGGTCCGGCAGGGGGAGGTGACTGTAGGCATTTCCTGGGCTAAGCTCAACCCCCGCCCCCGGGAAAGGCTCCGTGGGGTGGGCATCCCCGGGGCCCAGCGGGGGGAGGTCGCTGGGTGCGCCAGGCCGTGACATGCTCTGATCTGACCCGCAGGGCGAGAAGTACGTGGTGCTGAAGCAACGCTCCCAGGAAGCAGCGCCTGGCCCGCCGGCCGGCATGGCCCTGTGGGAGGGCCCACGGGCAGGGCCAGAGGAAGAGGCTGCATTGCCCCACATCCTGGTCACTGACTTCAGTGCTTCGGTGAGATGCAGGGAGCCTTCGCCCCCGCCCCATGGCTCCCTGGCCCCTCCCCACCACAGCAGCCCCCCACATCCCCTGCCCTGGGAGCTTGGGGAGGGCTCTGGGCCCCAGGGGGAGGGGAAAGGGGAGAGCTCTGGGCCCCGGGGGGAGGGGAAGGGGGAGAGCTCTGGGCCAGGGCCCCAGCATGGAGCCCCAGGGGCTCTGTTTCACTACAGCCCCCTCAGCCCCAGGCCCCTGTGCTCCCAGCTAGTGGTGGGGACAGACCCACAGGCAGCTCATCCTGAATTCCTCCCTTGGCATGTCTCCTGGGGGGCAGAGCACTGCAGCCTGGGGCAGCCTCGAGGGGGTCCCTGCTACAGCCCCTGACCCACAGCCGGAGTCCGAGCCCCCAAGAGCGGCAGAGGAGGATGCAGAGAGCGTCTCCAAGGTAAGGGGTGCCCGGCAAAGTAGCCAGTGGCGGCGGGAGGAGCCGGGTGTGGGCCCCCCAGGGACACCCTGGGTAGAAGGTATCTGACCGGGGGGGGGGGGGTGCTGTGGGAGACACCCCCGGTGAATGGGCAGAGAATGGCGTGTGTTGGTGGGGGACCGTGGTCTTGGGGGCGTGGGCAGCAGGGGGCACTGCGGGGCGTGGGGGAGCGGGTTAGAGCCCCAGGTGTTTGGGGGGCGCTGCAGACGGTGATCCCGAGCAGGAGTCTGGGGTCACTGGCAGCTGCCAACACCCGATTTGCCCTGCTGGCGGGATACGTGCGGGAAAGGGGAACCCGACCCTAGTGTCTCCAAGGACACGTGCTGGGTGCTCCACCAGGAGGCAGCGCTGAGGCCTCCTGGCGCTGCAGACGGGGAGTGGCTGGGAGCTCCTGGGCGCATGGGGGTGCTCTGGGCCGTGCTGTTGAGGGACTGAATGGGGGGGCTGGGGAATTGCAGGGGCTGGGCCGGGCCCTGGCAGGGATTCTGTGTCCCCTGCAGGCCCCAGCACCCGTGGGGCAGCCGGGTCCCGGTACCCCTGGACATGGCAGTATTCCTGGCCCCGCTCCAGGGAGCAGACAGATCCCAGGGGCCTGACCCCAGGCCTGGCTCTGCTGGCCGAGCAGGTCGGCGGCTCTTGGGTCACTGCCACACGGAACCCGGGTAGGTCCTGGGCTGCGGGGAGCCTGGCACCCGGCCGCAGGGCTGGCAGGCAGGACAGGGAGCTTCCCCAGAAGTGGGCAGTTCTCCAGCCCCTGGAAGGTGGGGGAGGAGGTGGGGCTGGGGACTGCCCCCAGCTGTGGTGTCCCTTGGTGCCGTCAGAATGGGCAGTGGGCACTGGCTGCAGCTGCGTCACTCCCCCGGCCCTCCTGGCAGCCCCGTGCACCTCCCTCCCTCTCCCTCTGCTCTCCCGGCAGCCGGAGTCGGAGCAGGACGCCTCCGAAGATGGAGGGAGCAGCCTGGGCTCCAGCTCTGTGGCGGTGAGTAGTAGGCAGGACGGGGTGTCGGATGCCCAGGATCGGTGCTTCGGCCCCAGCCGTGGAACAGTCTCTAGGACAGGCCCCGTCAGTGCCAGGCCCCCCAGCCCCCCGGGGTCTCCCTCGTCCTGCCCCGGGCAGGCCGTGCAGCCTCCCCACCTCCTTAGACAGGACCTCCAGGCTCCTGCCCTCCTGCTTGGCGCCGTGAGCTCTGCTCAGCCAGTCCCACTGAGCCAGCCCCTGGCAGAGACTCGCGCGCCCTGCCGGGGTGACCGCACCTCGCCCCGCCTTTCACTGACACTCACACCGCGCTGGCACAACAGGCGGGTTTGTCGTCCCCTGGACACGGCACAGGGAGGCCGTAGGGTGGCCCAGAGAGAGGGAGGCTGAAGTACAGACTGTTCTGGTGAGCCCCAAGCCCAGGCACGCTGCAGAGACCTCCGTGCTCAGGCTCTGGGTCTCTGTCGGAGCTGCTGGGACACTTCCCAGGTGAGAGCCCCGACTCCTTCCGGCAGCCGACGCTGAGCCCCTCCTCGCTTCATCCCCGTCCCGTGTTCTCGAGCTGGGGTCTGCCCAACTTCCCTGCTGAGAGGTGGGGACCCATCTCCCTCTGGGCCGAGGGGCACTGTGAACCCCCCCCCCCCCCCCCCCGGCCCTGCGGGATCCCGGTGCTGCTGAGAGGTGGGAACTAGGGCGTCGATTCATCGCAGTTAACTCACGCAATTAACTCAAAAAATTAATTGCAATTATTCGCACTGTTAATCGAATACCAATTGAAATGTATTAAATATTTTGGATGTTTTCTACATTTTCAAATATATCGATTTCAATTACAACACAGAATACAAAGTGGACAGTGCTCACTTTATATTATTTTTATTACGAATATTTGCACTGTAAAATGATAAAAGAAATAGTATTTTTCAGTTCACCTCATACAAGTGCTGTAGTGCAATCTCTTTATCGTGAAAGTGCAACTTGCAAATGTAGATTTTTTGTTACATAACTGCACTCAAAAACAAAACAATGTAAAACTTTAGAGCCTACAAGTCCACTCAGTCCTACTTCAGCCAATCGCTCAGACAAACAAGTTTGTTTACATTTACAGGAGATAATGCTGCCCTCTTCTTGTTTACAATGTTACCTGAAAGTGAGAACAGGTATTTGCATGGCACTTTTGTAGCTGGTATTGCAAGGTATTTATGTGTCAGATATGCTAAACATTCATATGCCACTTCATGCTTCGGCCACCATTCCAGAGGACATGCTTCCATGCTGCTGGTGCTCATTACAAAAAATAATGAATTAATTAAATTAGTGACTGAACTCCTTGGGGGAGAATTGTAGGTCCCCTGCTCTGTTTTACCCACATTCTGCCGTATATTTCATGTTATAGCAGTCTCGGATGATGACCCAGCACATGTTGCTCGTTTTAAGAACACTATCACAGCAGATTTGACAAAACGCAAAGGTACCAATGTGAGATTTATAAAGATAGCTACCGCACTCGACCCAAGATTTAAGAATCTGAAGTGCCTTCCAAAATCTGAGAGACCATGTGTGGAACTGCTTTCAAAAGTCTTAAAAGACCAACACTCCAATGCAGAAACTACAGAACCCGAACCACCAAAAAGAAAATTAGCCTTCTGCTGGTGGCATATGACTCAGATAATGAAAATGAACATGCGTCGGTCCACACTGCTTTGGATCGTTATCAAGCAGAACCCGTCATCAGCATGAACGCATGTCCTCTGGAATGGTGGCTGAAGCATAAAGGAACATATGAATCTTTAGTGCATCTGGCACGTAAATACCTTGCAACGCTGGTTACAACAGTGCCATGCAAATGCCTGTTCTCACTTTCTGGTGATATTGTAAATAAGAAGAGGACAGCATTATCGCCTGTAAATGTAAACAAACTTGTTTGTCTGAGCGATTGGCTGAACGAGAAGTAGGACTGAGTGGACTTGTAGGCTCTAAAGTTTTACATTGTTTTATTTTTTAATGCAGTTATTTTTTGTACATAATTCTACGTTTGTAAATTCAACTTTCACGATAAAGAGATTGCTCTACAGTACTTGTATTAAGTGAATTGTAAAATACTATTTCTTTTGTTTTTTACAGTGCAAATATTTGAAATAAAAATAATAATATAAAGTGAGCACTGTACCCTTTGTATTCTGTGTTGTAACTGAAATCAATATATTTGGAAATATAGAAAACATCCAAAAATATTTCAATAAATGGTATTCGATTATTCTTTAACAGCGCAATTAATCGCAATTAATTTTTTTAGTTGCTTGACAGTCCTCGTGGGAACCCATCTCTCTCTGGGCCGAGAGCCATTGTGCAGCCCCCCTACGGCCCTGACGTGCCCCGGTGCTGCTATCTGTCACTCACTGTGTTTCCCCCCCCAGCTGGACCCTGTGGAGAAGGAGTGGCTGCAGGGGGCAGCCAGCGGGCACCTGCTCACCCTGAGTCACCTGCTCAAACAGGAGCCGTCCCTGGCCACCAGGAAGGCAAGTCCGGCCCTCATGCCCGGCCTGATCTGCTCAGCTGGGCTGGGGAAAGTGGGAGGGGCTCTGGGCCAGACCCGCTGCTCTTGGGCAGTGTGGGGGGCTGCTCTGTGTCCCGGAAAGGGGGGCTGCCCCAGCCTTAGCCTGAGCTCACCCATTTTCTCTCTCTCTCTCTCTCTGCTCCCGTGGGACGTGCTGCAGGACTTCACCTCGGTGAGTACAGGGCCATGCCAAGCCCATGCTCCCTCCAGCCCTGACCGGGCGGCTCAGGCTGCAGCTGGGGGTGGGTCACGCTGCCTTGCGAATCCCAGAGGGGCCTGGGGCAAAGTCAAGCTCTTGGGACCCAAACTCCTGCGAAATCCCAGCCCCTCCTGCAGCTAATGAACCCACTGCCCCACACCTGCCTGTCCCCTCCCCGCCCTCTTGCCCACCCCCCCATCTACAGGCTCTGATTTCCTGCTCTCTCTCTCTTCCCCGTTGCTGGCCTGCTGGGCTCTGGTTCCGGTGCGACTTACCAGGGGGTAAGTCGGGGCAGGTGGAGCTGGTTGCTCCCACAGAGGCTCGGGCCGGGGGGTGTTGGGGTTGCTGCAGGTTGGTTGAGCCCTGGTCCCTGGCGGGAGCCCCGATGCCCAGCAGGGAGCCCAGAGGGTCTGGATGGGAGCTCAGCCCAGCCCTGGGGGCAGTAGCAGAGCAGTCCAGCCAGCAGCCCGGTCTGTAGGGAGAAGGGGACCCAAGGCCCGAAGAACAGCTCCCTCCAGGGGTTTCCAAATCCAGATGTTTGGTGGCTGAGTTTCCTGCCCCAAATGGAAGGTTTTGGCTGCCCTCCCCCACGCTGGACCAACACCGCGCTGGCTCCGGGGGCCCCATGCGATGCTTCTAACATATCTCCTTCTCTGCCCCGTCCCTGTCGCCCGTCCCTGCTGGCGCCGGCGCCCGTCTCCGCTGCCCGTCCCTGTCGCCCGTCCCTGCTGGCGCCGGCGCCCGTCTCCGCTGCCCGTCCCTGTCGCCCGTCCCTGCTGGCGCCGGCGCCCGTCTCGGCCGGGAGCAGTTTGTAAGTATGACCCTTCTGGGACCCCAGGATCAACCTCGCCCCCTCCCTGCTGCATTCCAGGGCCGGGCTCCCTGGCTCCTCTCCTGGGTTCTGTTTCTGAACATAGTGACCCCCCCACCCCGGGACAGCGCCCCCTCCAGCCCCACGGGAGGGTGCCATGGAGCCGGCTAGGGGAGAGGTGCCGGTGTCTGTGTTCTGCCCACGTTCCCCACTGGAGGTGCGATGCAGGTAGATCCTCTGCCCAGGATGAGTGGGGCTGGGGGGTGGGGCAGAGGTGGTTCGGCCTGAGCCCAGCATGGTGGGGAGCAGGGTGAGCGAGGGTGGGCTGGGGGGGCCAGCAGGGGGTCTGAGCCCAGCATGGGGGGAGAAGGGCTC